TGGAGCTCTGGACTCCACTTGGAAAATCACTACGTGTCTCCAACCTTAGTTTCCTAATCTGTAAAATGAGGATGCCCCCTGAAGTTGTTGAGAGGGTCACATGAGATAGTGCATGCGAAGTGCCTGACCCATTGTCACTGCACATTTCTGAGCAAGAAGATGCATGGTGTGGGGTAAACAATTTGGGACTAGCAGACTGGAGATCTGGGATTCGAGGCTACAGAAAATCCACAAAGGCTGGAAAGAGAGGTTGAAACCAGGGAGACCCAGACTTTGGTTCTAAGTACATAGGGTGGTGTTGCTTTTCCGCTGGTTATTCTAGTATTCATATTGCTACAAACAAGGAAATGGATACAGGGTTTTTTTTTCCCCTCCCAAAGTCTTGTTTTACTTTAGCAGAATACATAGGAAAAGATTTGTGGTTATTGGCATGCTGGACTAGAACTTGATGCATCTATCTTTATATTTTCTCCAAACAGGAAGTTAAATTACTGTTCTGAGGTTCATGAGTTCAGAGCAGAATTTACGCCTGGAAACAAGTATGTTACCTGATCCACACTTGGCTAGGCTAGTTAAGTGTTTAGATAGAATGATATGTTTTTTTTTTTTTTCTTTCTTTTTTGGCTTTTTCTGTTCTGGATTAATGGTGGATGTTTGTTGACTGTGGATCCCTCTGTCCTTGTAGCCTATGTTGTGAGGTGTAGCCTGGGGGCATTGTGTGGTTTGGGGAATGGAAGTAGGTCAGTCAATGCTCATTGGGTGCCAAGGGAGTTCATAGGATTAGTGGATTTTTTTGAATTTTCAGTATGACACTGGAGTCATAACCAGAAGCTTAGTTTATAACCAGAAGCTTAGTACTGGGGACAAGGGGATGGCCAGATGGAGAACATGAAGGAAGGTCCATCCTGGATTGCACTATCTTGTGATCCCAGGCTCCTTGGAAGCTAAGTGGTTGGGAGTAAAATTGGGCTTGACTCTGCCCGCATTCTTCTCAAGCCCAGTAGGGCTCACTTTACTGTCCCCTTCCTTGAATAGTAGAATTTCAGTCCCTTCTTCTTTTATTCACTGAATGGTGGAATTCATTCATTCATTAATATTGATTGAACATCTACTAGATCAGACAGTGTCCTAAATATTTGGGAATACAGCAGTGAACAAAGCAGACAAAAATCCCTGCCCTCATGGAGTTTCCATTTTAGAGGGAAGAAGCAGACAATATACACAACAGAACCCTAAGTAATATATTGGAAAGTGATAAATACTCTAGTGAAAAATCAAGCAAGGAAGGGAGATAGAGTGTCCTTGGGTCAGGCGGGGGTTGGAGGGTGCCTTGCAACTTAGAAAAAGCTGGTAAGGGAAATGGAGTTCTTATATTTGAACAAAACCTGGGGGAGGTGAGGGAGTGAGCTCTGTGGAGACCCAGACCAAGGCAATAGGAAGGACACACAGAGAACCTGGGGATGTAGGAGAGGCAGGCCAGTCAGGGAGCCGGTGGGGAGTGTGGGCAGAGGAGAGTGGTAGATGAGCTGGAGGGCAGCCAGCTGGGCGGGGGGGGGGGGGGGGCCGCAGAGGGTGGGGGGGAGGAGGCAGTGGAGATGGGGGCTGTGAAGGGCCTTGTAGACCATTATAGCAACTGTGGAGTTGGGGTAGCTGTGAGTGAGAGGGCGCTGCCGGGGGGGTGTTGAGCACAGGAGTGACATGGCATGTGACTTTTTTTTATTATTATTTTTTATTTTTTTATTTTTTTAAAGATTTTATTTATTTATTTGAGAGAGAGAATGAGATAGAGAGCATGAGAGGGGGGAGGGTCAGAGAGAGAGGCAGACTCCCTGCCGAGCAGGGAGCCCGACGTGGGACTCGATCCCGGGACTCTAGGATCATGACCTGAGCCGAAGGCAGTCGCTTAACCAACTGAGCCACCCAGGCGCCTGGCATGTGACTTGTTTTTAACAGGATTACTCTGGCTGCTGTGAAAAGAGTTTACCTACTAGTAGGCCAAAAAAAAGCTTTCTGTGTGTGTGCGCGTGCACGCGTGTGCCAAAGGGACAGTCACGGGGAGGGTGTACTGCTATCACCTTTCGTGTAAAACAAGACTATATTTTGTCATAAGAATGCAGCCCGAGTAATCGTGAGGCCCTGTCCTCGAGGGAGTTTCATCCCGGGTCTGAGGAAAGGGGGCAGTGCAGGGCCATTTCGCCATCATCAGTGACTCGGTACCACTTTTGACTTAAGCAGGGTGGACACATTGTGCACGTGGTTTTACTTCCTGGATGTCATTTACGCCTTGATTGCTTTAGAGGGAACTTGGAAAAAATCCTGTAGAACGACCGAGTCCTGTGGATTTCCCGACAGACAGCCGCCTTCTTTCTCATGCCCTCCCTCATTCCATCCTCTCCTTCCTGCCCCTCTGTGATGATCAGGACTGAGGGCATTGCCCTAACAGACTGTATATTTCTGAGTGGTGGTCGTTAATTTTTCTTGGCTTGGCTGAAGAAACATTCCCGTCACCTCTTTTGAACGTAGAGCACCACCTTGGCGTGAATGAGTTTTGACAACAGAACCTTGTTCTGCAGCTAGAGGTTGGCCCCGTTCCACTCCCTGTTAATTTTCCTGTACAATTAAGGCACCTAGGAAAACATTTGAAGAAAGTTTTCATTTTGTGGGCTAATAATAAATGCCATAAGGTAGTTAGCCAGTCTTTTGGCTTTGGTTGTGATTTTTGCACAAAAGGTGTACAAACAGTAGCTACTACAAAGGTGAATTAGGAGCAGATAATGACTCCGTCTTTTGGACGTCTGAAATACAGAAATAGATTTACACAGATAATTGTTCTGAAGTGTTCACATCTCACTTTTATATTGCCAAATATCCTTGCTAGTTTCGCTTCTTGGCAGTGCAAATGTTTGGAGACATGTTGTATGTTCTCCAGTGTTCATGACTTAGTGTTTCCTCCCCCCCCGCCCCCACATTCTGTAGTTGTGCAGGTTTGTGGATGGAGTCAGTCTGGGGGGACTCAGCCCATCCTTTCGCAGTTTTAATTAGTTGTGAAATATTAGCAGGAAGGCAAAGTTATTTTACATTGAAGTGACTTTTTGGGGGAAGTAGCAGATTAGATTTTATGGTAGCAGCTGTTCTGAGTGGAATTTGTCACAAAGTTGTTGAGAAGTGAATGCTTCCAATACCCTGATATAAATCCTTAGTTTAAAAAAAGTACACGCTGCGAATAAATGAGGGTGTTGAAATAGAGAACAATATTTTTGTAAATATGTTTTAAAACCTAAGCTCTGGTGTTTGTGTTTTTTTTTTTTTTTTTTTGTTAACATCACAGCCTCAGTCTTTCAAAAACAATGATTGCTCTGATTTTGTAATGGGAGTCTTTGTTTAGTTTAGAAGTCAATAATGATATGCTACAAAAGAAAACATAACCTAGTAGGGAGGCTCCCTAATGGCGAGCACACTGGAGAAGGAATTTGAGAAGGAACAGGACTTTTGAACATGTCGCTCCTCTTCCTGGAGCACCGCCTTCCTCTCCCCTACCTCCCACCATGAAACTTCAGCTCCTTGATGACTTTTCCTCGCTTAGCCCTCAGCTCTCAACAGGGATGCCTTCCCTGACTTGGCTCGTTCTTTCTACTGTCAACTCTTAGAAGCCTTATGTAGTTCTTCTTCTTCTTCACCAAGAGAAAAAAAAAAAGACACTGTGCACTTATGGTATACTTATCTGAATAATTCCTTATTCTGTGAACTCCATGAGAGAAGGGAGAGTTTCCTTATTATTTTTTTTATGATGGTGTCATCTCTGCCTACATACAGTGTGTGACACACTGATAAATATTTGTTCAGTGAAGGAGTCCGTATATGAGTTGAGTTTGGGCGGCCATAGGAAGGCTGGTACAAAGATTTAGGCCTATGGCCTCATATTCAAATGACTCGGGGGGCCGGGCAGCCATCGTAAATGAGTGGAGTGGACTTTTGAAGTCCCCTGAGATGTGCTGGGCAAACCAGATAGAATGTCTGGGGAGGGGGCCTGCTGAGGGGATGCTCTCCTCCCTCCTTCCGTGGCGGCTCATTCTTTTCACCACAGGGATGTAGGCTTGGACCGTGGCAAATTTAGAAGGACTCCCTGGGCAGATGGGTTAGGGTGGGGTAGACTTAAACAGTAGGAAGAATGGGGAAGGAAGGCTGCCTGAGGGTATGGAGTGCCAGGAAGGTTTTTGAGCAGAGGCGAGAGATTGTCAGATTAGGAAGTGTTTAGGAAGAAAATTTTGGCAGTGTGGGAAGTCTTCAAGTATATCAGGAGACTCGTAGGTTCTGAGGCTAGTGTCGTAGTCCACGCCAGAGCTAAATGAGGCTGGGCTCTGGGAGGAGTGTGGTGGTAGAACCAATAGTTTACTGTCTGGGAGCATTTTTGCAAATACAGAGACAGACGTGTATCAGAAAAATAAATTTCTGAAAATTATACCACTCTTCATCAACATCTTTCTAGAAACAACAGAAATGGCGACTGGAAAAGCAGAGCATGAGGTCAGGTCGGATTGCTGTGGGTTGAGGACTGAGTGGGAGGTGAGAAAGGAACACCAGTGAGAGAGACTCCTCTTCTGAGAGGTTTTTCAAAAATAGGAAGAAAAGAAACTGGAGCAGAAGCCGGGGCAGAGGAAAATGCCAGAAGGATCCAAGGGGATGGATTTCCTGTGCCAGTGAGGGTCCCTTCTTCTGAGACCCTGAGAGCACAGTGGGGTGGGGAAGACATCCAGCCTCTGAGGTGGGAGTAGCCAGCAGATGCCAAGGTCTTGCCAGGTGGCAGAGGACACATACGCTCAATGAGGATTGTACGTGAGGCTGGGGCTTTGCTTTGGGGAAGATGTGTGTAGGACCTAGTGCTAAAATGCATTAGCATTTCCGCTTTTATCACAGTTTTTATTAACCGGTGCTAAAGAAATACTCTTGGAAATATTGGGGGAAATCATCCCTTGCTTTTTCCTTCTGACTTGAAAACTCACCAGAAACCTCAGACGCCTCCTGAAATCTTGAACAGAAGCAGCCTCAAAATGATGCCATGGAGGATATTTAGGACCTGTGGAAATCCAGAAGCCATTGCTCTTCTGTGTGGGATCCTTCTTTGACTAAAAGTCCAAGGCTGATCTCACAGAGCTTTGGTAATCAGCTGCACCTGAAGCGGGTCTGAAAAGAATAGATTGGTAATAGAGTATTATGAAATATAATGTAATATAAAAATATAAGTATAATATTATGAAGGAAAATATGATGAAACTACTATAGACATTCAGTAATATCTTTGGAATCAGGGAATACTTTAAGTTTGCTACCACTTTCTCAGTTAAAAAAATTTTTTACTTTCCCAGGCCATTGCTGTTTTCCCATCAGGCTCAGGTCTTTTCAGAGTTTCTCAGAATAAGTCAACAAATCTATTTCAGATGTGTTTGTTACTAAGCAACGGTTGCTAAGAGCGTCTGTAATTAAGATGAAAGTTCCAAGGTAACTATGCCCAAACAGCCCCATTTTCAGCATTTTCTGATAAGGCGACCATAGGGTGAATAAAAGTGAAAGAAGACTATTTCAGCGAGAGCACCGTGCCTGACATTTCTGAATGTGTTTGCTGTCCTCTAGCTCATCTGGGAGAGAGAGTTTGTGTTTTACAAATCAGCTAGTAGTTTTTCCTCACGCGTCGGACGCGCATGGTCCTCATGTGAACAGGTGATGCCCGTTGGAGGCAGGGCCCCCACACGGCCGTGGCGCGGTGGCCACGTGGTCCCAGGCGCCCGCAGTCTGACGTGGCTGGTAAGAGGGATGACCAGAGGGAGCCCCACGTGAGCTCAGCGGCCTCTGCAGCTATGACTGACCTAGATTAAGCAGCAATGAAGGCATGTTCTGCACTCTGTTAAACAGTGCACAGTGTCTTTTTTTTTTTTTTTTTTTCTCTTGGTGATTTGTAAAGGAAGGCTCATTGCAGGCGCTTCACAAATTTCCTCTTTCCCTTCCCACTCCATTCTGTTCCAGGGGCGAGGGGAGGAGGATGGGGTTTCCATGACAACCTGTGGTTGAGTGACCTCCTTTTAGACCTGTTGTTAGATGCCCAATGGGCCCCAGTAGAGGTGCAGAGAGCCAAGCCTCACCTAGTGGGAGGCTTTGTGGTAAAAGAGGAATCAGTCTGTCCCCCAGTCAACAAGCAATTGCTGAGTGACCCTCCAGTTGCCTATAAACTTGGCGCTCCTCTTTGGGGTTTGCTTACAGGTTGGCCTCACTGCAAAGCAGAGTGACCGTCGGCCACGAAAGAGTGCTGACCAATAATACCTTAGGTTTATGATCTTGGGTAAGTCATAACCACCTTGAACTTTAATTTCCTCATCCTTATGCTGGGGACAGTAATATCTGCTTGGCTCATATGGTAGGGTTGCCATAAGAATTAGATGAGACAGGATATGAAAGTGCTAGGACATGTGTATATACATTCATTCATTCAGCAAATATTTACTAAGTGATTCCTATATGCCAGGCACTGTTCTAGTTTCACAATATATTCCATGTCAGAGGAAATAAATAGATCTGCTCAATTCTTTTTAGTGTCCGTTTAATATCCCATAGTTTAGGTGTTCCATAATTCATTTAACCATCTTCCAATTAAGTGAACAGTGCTGCACTGAACATCTTTAGATGTATATTTTTGGCATATGTGAGAATATTTCTCTAGGAGAGTATCGTAAGAGATGTTGCCAGATCAAAAGCAGGCATATTTAATATTTTGTTGGATACTACCAAATTCCGTCTGAAAGGCAATGACAACCTTCCTGCCTGGAATATCTGTAATACCCATTTCCCCATACCCTTGCTAATATGCTCTTTTAAGTTTTACCGATCTGTTGGATGAAAAATATCTAATGGTTGTGTTATTTTCAGTTCCTTGATTTATTAAGGAGCATCTTTTCATCTTTGTTGGCCATTTTTACTTCTGTGATTAGTCGTTTTAACGCCTTCTTTATCTACTGGGAGATGTATCTTTTGCTTAGTAATTTGAAAGGGTGTTTTATATATTTAAAACCTATCTGATTTTACTTACTTTTCCATTGAGATGACAGGGGCAAAGTTAAGTGCTGTATATATCACAGAGGAGTAAGACGCATATGAAGTTAAATATGATGGGACTTGATTAGAAACCAGGCTTCTCCTAGTCCATTCTGCTTTTATTTGAGCACAAAGGATTATTTGGGAGGCTCAGCAGGCCAAGGAGGGTGGGTTACCTCAGTGGGGCAGTTGGATGGCTGGAAGCAGCAAGAGGGAGGGCATTGGGTTACCGAAGGGAGCCAGGACTGAACACAAGCTTCTCCAAACGCCTATGGCTCTTTCAGCCCATCCTGCAGGAGCTACCTAATCCTGGGAAAAAGGAAAGGTAACTGAAGGGTGGAAGGATGGAGGGCTGATGACCCTGGCTTTGTTCCTTAGGGGGCGGGACCAAAGGCAAAGGAGCGAGAGGGACAGCCTCTGTAGGGGGCGGCCTTCCCTCCTTGCAGAGCATATGTAACTGTTGCAGCTGCCTCTGTGCTGGGGAGACCAGAGGATGTTCCTATTCTTAATAATCACAAGAGAAACAGAACAAAGATCCTCTTCTTATTTGAGTTTTCTACAGTACCTCCTTTGAATAATCGTAACTTTTTTTCTGATTGAATAGTTACCATTTCCTTTTCTGTGTAAAAGAGTAAACTATGATATAAAGTTTTTCTGAAATGGCCTTATTTTAGGCTTTCTTTTCATCCTTATTCTGATCTGGCTTGTTGTATATGTTCAATGGGGCTAAATCCTAGGATGGAAATTCTAGATTTTTTTTTTCAAGGCTGGAAGCAACTTTAGGGGCCATCTGGTTTAATTCACTTATCAAACAGGTAGGGAAGCCAAGATTTTGGGAAGTGGGGTGGTTTGTTTAAAAGATTACCCAGTTGGGGCACCTGGGTGGCTCAGTCGGTTAAGCATCTGACTCTTGGTTTCCCCTCAGGTCATGATCTCACAGTCGTAGGTCATGTGATCCAGCCCCTCGGTGAGCTCTGCACTCAGCAGTGAGTCTGCTTGAGATTCTCTCTCTCCCTCTCCCCTTGCTCCACCCCCACTCATGCTCTTTCTTTCTCTCTCTCAAATAAAAATAAATAAATCTTAAAAAAAAAAAAAGTGAATAAGTCTTCCAGACTTAGGGAGGGTCTTCCAGATTAAGGACTAGTATTAGGGACTCTTCTATTTTATTAGGACTTCTGGTTGTGCCATTTAACATCTTTCTGACATTTGCCTAGTTTCCCCACCAGATTTCTTACCTTAAAAATGAGGCTGATTGTATTTATTTCATCAAATTGTTGTACTAAGTATTTAATAAAGCACTTCTCGTGTTTGAATTTTAACCTCCATGTCTGCATGGTTTTGAAAGCCCCTCCTTTCTCATTTCTCAGCATCCATTATGCATATATCATGTGCTTAGTCAACACTTACTGAATTAACACAAGGTTAAGGTAATTGTTATATATTTCTATGCTTCAGTCTCACACATACGTGTGCACACACACACAAACACACACACAACCTTAGTCTCACATTCTTCAACGTATAACCACTTCAGGGTTGTATAGTGTGTCTCCTGGTTTCAGACATGAGAATATTTGAAGTATTCAGAGTGAAACAATTCTCCCATGACTTTAAAGAATTTAGAGAAGGGGATACCACAAGTTCCTTACACGTTCAATTTTGATTTTTGATAACTGATCCTGTTAGAAAATGTGTTTGTCTGTTTTAGTTTCTGTTTCACAGGCTGCTGTTGATTCCTGTTTTCTCTTCTGTAGTGAGTGCTCTGTTCTGCCCCTTGGCTGAGCAGATTTCCCCTGGAGTGAGAGGTCGGCAGTCTGTTGTCCTGCAGCATGCCCTCAGAGTAAGGTGAGCGGGAATCTGCAGGGTTACAGAGTGCAGGGTGGCTCAGGTCATGCTAATAGATAGGGCTGGTGTAACCCGGGTTGAAGCCATATTTGGTTGGTCTGCCTGGTCATGGTCTCAGGATAGGGCTGGGTACATTTGAAGTCAGGTATCTGTGTATTGGGAGCACCACCCACAGGGAATGCTTAGGAATGATGGGTTATGTTACCAAGGAGAAAGCTAAGACAACTGCTATTCCTACAAGTTTCCCCACTGAATAAGCTCTTTTGTCCTGTTACAAAGAGTGATTCACAACTCCTTAGTGCCATCCTGGCTGGGATTGAGATGTGGATACCAGGGGTGGGAACTGCCTTCTACCTAGAAGCATTTGGTTTTAGATCAAGAGAGAGATTTTCCAGGGCGCCTGGGTGGCTCAGTCGTTAAGCGTCTGCCTTCGGCTCAGATCATGATCCCAGGGTCCTGGGATCGAGTCCCACATTGGGCTCCCTGCTCAGCGGGAAGCCTGCTTCTCCCTCTCCCACTCTCCCTGCTTGTGTTCCTGCTCTTGTTATCTCTGTCTCTGTCAAATAAATAAATAAAATCTTTAAAAAAAAAAAAAAGAGAGATTTTCCAGAAGATGGGTTATGTGGAAGGGGGCAGGGAGGCCGGGGGTAATGATCCCGAATATCAGCTCCTTTGCTTGGTGAGACCTTGGGGCAGGCATTTGCAGTGGGCATTGGACACTCTGGGTGTCAGAGCTGTCATCTGAACTGACTTTGGGTTCAAGGTAGAGGAAAGCTTAATATCCTTTAAGTCATCTTTTCTTTAATTTTCAGACTTTTCCTAAGAACGGGAAGGTTTCCTCTTGTCCATTTGATTCAGTCCTCCTCTGCTCTCTGAGATTTATTTTTCCTGCTTTTAATCATCTTTTTGTACTTCTCGGTCAGTGGGTGATTTTTGATGTTCGAGGGTGGTGTTTTTTTTGAACTGTTACTTTAATATTAGTTTTTCTTGAACTTTCGTTTTGACATAATACTGGATGCATAGAACAGTTGCACCACTTTTGCAAAGAATTCCTGTATACATTTCACCAGGATTCTCCAAATGACATTTTGATACATTTGTTTTTTTCTGTTTCTCTTTTTCTTTTCTCCCTGAACCACTGAGATAAGTGTAGACACAATGTCTCTTTGTCCCTAAATACTTAACT